TGAATAGCACCCTTTTTTCATCAGCTATTCAAACATGGATCAAGAGTTACATTAACCTTACCAAAAAATCAGCATCATTACTAAGGTTCACTTGCTTAACTTCGTAGTTCAAAAGTTCTTCATATTCTGAAAACAATTTACATGTAATATACTTTAGCCTATGGTTTTAATAACTATGCAAAAATGGTACCAGTTTCTGCTTCCACAATGTAATTCATCCATAATTTATCAGCTTTAGAATAAGCCCATTAATTTGTGCTGCTCGTTCGTATATTTCGTTGTTGCTGCTGCTGCTGTTGTTTGTTTGTTCGTTCAGTTAGGGTTTCAATAGGCTTCGCGTGCTATGTATTTTTAGATTGACAGAAAGCAGTGGCAAAACTCACCTTGTCGAAGCTTGTATGCTGATCGTTGACCAGATGACATTACAGATGTTGTGGGCGTTATTAAAGAAAATAYTGGACTACTATTTTGACCAAGCAAAGACTGAGTTGTAGTTGATGCAACTATGCTTTCGGTACTATAATAAGGTATTTGCGCAAAGGCTGACGAATGTGTAAGTGACGTCATTGGTGAGGTCATACGTATCTCTGACTTATGAAGAGATGAGATGGCTGATGGGGAAGGCGTCAGAACCGAACTTGGTATAATGGWTATCGGTAGAGGTTGGTATTTTTCTACAAATGTTCATGCAAAACCATAGAAAGAGTACAATCTCAACCTTTATCATCATAAATTATATTYATATATTTCATTTTTGGATGGATGGGGGRRGGRAGGGAGGGAGGGAKGGATTGAACTGCTGTRGCTTCAAAATAAGAAAGACTAAACCATGTACTTACTGCAGTTTGACCGAATGGAACSCACAATGTTATTGAAATTCATCTTTTCGATGGATTTATTAACTCGTAGTCCACTATAAAGCAAATCCGTGAGGTTTGTTATCTTTCTYAGGTATTGCAAGTGTTCCCGTCCATACCTTAGAGCTATTTTAGTCACTGGGTCCTTRTATCCCATGGGAGCATAAGTCGAATTACATTCAGGGTGAGTATAATTATCACTGTTTCTGATGAACCAAAGACAGTCAGGTCTTGCGTTGAATGTCACACCAAACAGCATTGTYGGGTCAAAGCCATAAATACTTGTCTCCAAATAGTTAACGTCATTCATATTTATCGTTGTGTTATCAAAATCCTTGAATATTTTTTTTGTATCTGCAGTGTACACTGCTATAGCATATTGTATGGCTTTCGTCTTCATTACTTCTGTAAGTACTTTCTTTACTAACGTTTTCTGGTCTTTGAACTCCTGTCGAGTTGTCATCTTTGTTGAATCCATTGCAATTGCAAGTCGAAAATCATACGATGCTRAAAAATAATGATTTAACCAAAATCGCTCAAAAAATATTGGGCTGATATGACTGCTGATATAACAATAGCCGGCAGCAGTATGAGAGGTGAATGAAAGAAACTTTTTCTCTCCTCACTCCTCTCCCATTATACTTTCTTATTCCTTTCGGAATAAAGCCCTGCAGAATAATTGGGAATTCATGTTTTTCAATACAAAACTACATTATGTTTTTCAATTGATTTACGGCAAACGTGAAACGTCAGTTGGCCATTAAAAATTTCTTTACAATTAGTRAAAAGGAATCGCAAAAAGCTCCAARTAGTMGATAAACAAAAGAATRCTTGCCTTTGTCGAGAAAGTTTGCAAAAGGYAAAGTGAAATGTAGGGAAACGATGAAAACGTGGTCACGTTTGCCGYTTTCGGGAAGGAAAAACGTGAATCTAAATCTGCCTAACATTTACTCGTTACGTCAATACTCTTTGGTGACATCAATTTCCCGAAGCTTAGTTTGCTTGCTAAAAAAATGGCAGTTTTGTTTTTAAGCTAATATCGATATGTGTCAAATCAGGAATTTAGGATATAGGAACCAAAGGTTCTAAAATTATCTCTATAATGCATTACAACAGCAACTTGCAATTGCTAAAATGTGAAATACGATGGAACAAAACGTCAATATTGTCATAACGCGTAACATTAGACGATCATTTCTATTTAAATTTTTATTCCTCGTTTCATATTCCTATTACTACTGCTTTCTCTTTCTCTTTCTCTTTCTCTTTCACTTTCTCCTTTTCTCTTTTTTTTCGAGTTCGTTTGCTTTATTACTTTTCATACTCCTATCCTCTATACCATGTAGAGTGTTAATAGGTTTTTTAACAATCGCTAAAGGTTTTTTGTTTTGAATCCGAGATTTTTCTGTTCATCGACCAATTGAAGATCTTTTTTTAGATAACGCCACTCATGAGAAATCAAACACGACAAGGGGAAAAAATGGTGAATTCAATTTTCCTAMAATCTTATCCTGTTTGAATAGTTTAGATTTACCAAGCACTATTATTCCATTATTGATACTAGCGCATTCTTTAAGTTCCAGGTTTTGGGGAAAAAAAAGATCTCTAAAAACGTTCCGTCTTTGAGGCTTCCCAGAAAGAGATATCCAAGATCAAAAACACATTGGAAAGAGATGTAGAGAAATATTTAGAAATTTCTATTTATATATTAGAGATTTATATAAAGAAAGGATCASACATATTCTTTTCAGATTTATTCTCACTTACCTTGAATTTCATTAGGAATTGAGAATACAAGAAGAAGGATCACTAAAGCTTCTTTTAAATTTGTGTTTCCCATTCTTAGGGGAGAAGCCGAAWTGATTAGATATATTTCCTTGTCAGCTTTTTGACTTGTAGCTTTTTTTCTTTAATTATTTATTTTGTCAAAATGCCTCATCCACTTTTGAATCAAATTTGACGAAATGAATAAAAACAATTGCTATTTCTTATTACAATAAAATAACATTACAACGCTTTTTATATATACTGTTGCTTGAAAGTGACCAAATATGTTRTATAAACATTTCAACACGTTCGACAAATAATCTTGAAAGCTTGAACACCTTGAGCATGCGCAGCTGGRGCTCATAACATCTTACACATGAGTATTGCGAAATAGAATTCCGCCTATTTAATTTCCAAAAAGAAATACAGCTCAATGAATACAATTGTACAATTACTTTCCTAGCTTCAATAGAAGACATGTGAAGATGGTCCGACAAAAGCCGCGGAAGCTCCTGTCAATTATGTTTAAACAGAGTTTCTCTTTTGACACAACGGAAGCCTTAAGCTGTTAGTTTAAACTTTTTGAATCGCTTTGTATAATAAACCTTGCATTTTCTGTTTGACTTGGCTGTTTTARGCTTTAATCGCATGAAATCTGACCACTGTAAGCGGACCGTAAAGGGGTGAAGTCTAATTTTACCAACAATCTATTGCTGCCATTTGGTCTTTAGTTGGTTGATATTATGAACCACTGGCACCAGTAGCTTTTTGGGGCTCGTATTTTTTTGCGGAAATGTAGGAAAAAATAAAAATGCAGGAACGTTAAGATGCTCTCTTTTCATCAGTAATGAAAATCTAAACTTTAGAAATTTAAAAAACTTAACTGGGTTTCACGTATTTTGAGAAACTCTGAGCTATGTGAATCGCCAATCAGCTATACCGATATGAAARTTGTAAACATTACAACCTATTCCTCGCCTAGTTTATGAATAAAAAAAAAAGAAAGAAATCATTATAATTAACATGAATAAATRCTTTCCCAAAGGGAAAATATTCCAGTCAGCAATGTATAAAGTCTAAGAAAACAATAAAATCATTAAATTTCGGGAATACATGCAAAACTTGTTTGRTCGCCGGCAAAGTTTACGTGATACTTAGTAACCTTATTTCATCACAACATTCATCATTTAGCTTGATGACGGTTCATTACATATGAAAATCTGGGAGAAAAAGTACTCAAAATGAAAAACAAAACATATTTCAAAACGAAGCAGGCACGAAAATTCAGTAGCACACATCTACTCAACCACAACCATTGTGCGGCGACACCGTCGTCATAAACTAGAAAAACAACGACAAAAAGAAGAACCAACGAAAGCTGGAAAACTGGAAAGAATTGTCGAGGTTGGAGTTCTTATCGAAGAAATAAAAGCTTGCGATAAATGTAATCGAAAGCAAGCTTTTTAACATGTCCGAACGTTTGACACACAGGACGCACCGATATAAATCTCTCTGTCWTTGGTTCACATAAGCCAATGAAAATAATTCTTATATGCAAACCTTCATCATGTATTTCAGGTTGACTTTTTTCGCACTTTTTAGGGCGTAAAATCCCTTATTTTTTGCAAGGGACCCTATAATTTTTAAGTGCTTATTTGAAAAAGCATCTACAAATGTACCTCATATCCATTTTTTTTTAGAAAAGTTAATTTTTTAAGCATGAAAAAAAGTCGGCATTTTTGTTTGACTTTCTACTAATTGTTGAGACCACCGAAAGGACGAAATATGAAGAATACRGGTTTTTTATTTGTCTTTTCGTCAATAAGTCATTTCCTTGATGCTRTACAATGGTTCACTTGCCATCATTTGTGCGTTTATTTAGTTTGATAAAGCTATAATTTTATGCCTATCGATTTTTGTTCTAATCACTTCCGGTGGCTCAATTTTTGCTTCAAAAACCCCTGCGTAGGCTTCCATTANCATATTAACCATAAAAAAACATGAATGGTTTCGCCGAACAGAAAACCATCATAGTTTATATTGATAACATTCATGATTTATTTTACTTCTTTTCCTGTGATGTATACCCATCTACAGTGTTAATAATTGTTAACTAAGCACCAGCTGCTCTTCTCCTGATTGCAAAAGTAATTTTTTCTTCAAATGCTCTAGGAGTGACTTCAAAACTACCATTGCTTGTTTTGGTATATTTCTTAGTAGAGAATGACAGCAGTGTTCTAACTTTTATGGGGAAGAATATTTTTGTTCCTTGTCCATGGGAATCTATACATTTATCCCAGCTATATATATAAAGTACTCTAAGTCATGCAATTAAGTTTTCGAGATCAAAATTTTTTAAATCAGTTTTAAAATTATAGCCCTATGACGACCATGTGCTTCGGGGGTGAAGTAAACCGGAGTTGTTTATTGTCACTTTTTTGGCTCGTGGTTCAACCATTTCCCAAAAACTCAAATTTAGGATTTAAAATCAAACTTTATTATCTTTAGCTTGATGACAATAATGAAGGGCTATTTCCCAAATGAACTAGAAGAAGCTCGAAGAGTAGTATTAAAGTCAGTCATTGCATTTCAACTTACTTGATGCATTCTGTTGTTATATTTTCTGACGGTTCCCAGGATGCTTCGTATATGGAATAATATTTCCACTTTACCAAATATTCGAGTTGTTTGCCATTGACTTTTCGACTTGATATCAACCTTTCAACCTCATAAAAAGATGTATCACACTTTCTCTTCTTCGAAAGTTCATCGGGCCTAGCTCAGTCGAGTCCGCCATGTTTAAACCCAAATGTACAGATTGATTCGGGTTAAGCGATTAGCCAATCACAATTGTTCAACACAGTGATTTGATTGACCTATGCTAATTTATGCTAATATAGCCGAAAATAAGCTCCGCCTGTTCCGGTTCCATATTTCTGGCTATGTTACCTCAAAAACAAGCTCGGGACACCCTATTTTTTCTTTCCAGATTTAGAATCAGCATTGAATTTCAATTCGAGAAATCGAAGTTTTAAAAAAAGTTTAAATGTTTTTTTCAAAAGTAGGCATTCACTTTATTAAAAAAAATTTTAAACTRAAATATATTCTCCATGTTTCAGTTTTGACGATAAAAGTAACATTTTATTTTAACCATTTCTCAATAATTCAACCACCAGAAATATTGTTCGACCACCTGTTATGTTCTCTTACGTTATAAACACATAAATAATTAAACAAAAACAACGATCAAAAAATCTAGGTTTTCGCCATTTTTTTGCTTGGGGAAACATTGTATTTCATAGTGAAATATATATAAATATATTGGTAATGTTGTAGCAGGAATAACTGATTCAGCAGTCATGTATAAGGAGATATTGYTCATTTGCTCGGTGCTTATCGCTGTTCAAGCAAGTAAATCAGTTATGAAAAAAGATGAACTGTACGACACAGAAAGAGATGCCAGGGTGAGTTATTTGAAATATATTTTCTATGATTGATTTTTTTATTTGTATTTTTAATGGCYATAAATTGGGTTAAAAGTATGAATAGCTCAAATGAATAAAAAGTATCATTGCTGTTACAGTTGCTAAAAATATTTGTTTTGATTAAAACGATGTACCTCTTGCTGTTTGAAATTGTCAATAAAATATCATTTATATTGTAAACCGATTTTTTCAGTCATTATTTGAAACAGAAGCTAATAAAGTTCATATAAAACGTTTGGTTAACTTACACTCGTTAACGGTGTTATTCTAAAGATAAAGATTTACAACTTAGATACATTTATGCATTTATAGTAGTCATAAGAATTCCATATTATTTGATAGGCCATTACGCCTGGATATTATAGCCAAGAATGTAATAGCCACAAAGTCTGCAAAGATCCAACTAAATACTGCCATATGTTCTTGTGTGTCGACTGTCTAAAAGAAAATGTCGCTTGTACTCAAAATGGACAGTGCTGTCCTGGATCAGAGTGCGTGTATGGACGTTGTAAGGCTGGCTCCAAGCCTGGACAATCAGGTGAATGCATAGACTTTTTGCTTGTTATTGATAGTGGTGGATTTGGGGTGGTGGTGGACATGTTGCTATGGTATAGTGACAATGAGTGTACAGATATGGATGCTTTCGTTCTTGTTGGTAGTGATATGGTGATGACAGTTGGTTCGATGAAAGTATGGATGCTGTTGTTCTTGTTGTTCTTGTTGTTTTTGTTGGTAGTTGTTACGTCCCAGGAAAGGACCTTGTTATGAATATTAATAAGACTTGAAGCGCATACCGGAAATGCTAATTATCATACAGTAGTATGCACGTGTATCAGAGATGTAGGTATGGATGCTTTTGTTGTTCTTGTTCTTGTTGTTGTTGTTGGTAGTGATATGGTGATGGCAGTGGGTATGATGCAGGTATGGATGCTGTTGTGGATGTTGTCGTTCTTGTTGGTGTCCATATGGTGCGTGATGGCAGCGGRTTGGATGCTTTGGTGATTGTGTTGTTCTCGTTTGTGGTAATGGATACGGCTATTAGGCTAGATTCTGATMATTGTGCTAGCTGTTCTGGCGTCTTTCGATTAATATCTGTTTTGTTGTTGGGGATGTTTTTGTAGGTGATAATCTAGTGGTGTTGAGTTAAGATATGGGGCGTTATTTCTATGAAGTTGTACTTAATTCATTGTTGTATTTCACAGGAACATTTTGTGATCGTCAAAGTGACTGTAAAGACCAAGATCTTTGCTGTGTACGTGAGCCCGCAATCAACCCAGCCATCTCTATTTGCAAGCCGGGTTTAGATGAACACCAAACATGTGGACCTTACAACCAATACAGAACAGTCTATGTGGGCGGCACAGTACAGCCTTCATGYGGACCTTGTAAGCAAGGCCTAACCTGTAAACAAGTCGGGTAAGAAGTGAATAGATTATATTGTTCTTATTTGTGAGAAGGGATAACAAAAGCTTGTCATTCATTCTCTTGTCCACTACATTTATTCACTTTTATACCCAATGTCTTAGTTATGCTGCAACAACAGTCGTCATGTTTTCAAATGTTATTGTTACGCATCTGTTACAGAATATTTGGGGTCCATCAAGTGTGCCTGCCCCAAGCCGCAGGAGCAGCAGCCGCACCTAAGACCAAGAAATCRAGTTTGAAGGAACCAATCAGTGACAGTTTTACTGCCCTTTAACGGCGTGATTGATTTTGTTGACTTTGCCACTTTCATGACAGTAATTGGGATGCATAAAGTATATCCATAAAACAAGGAATGATATAATATATAGCGTTTCATTGCATGCCAAAACTATTTGCAAAATGTAACACTGCATGTTTTTTTTTTATGAAATACACATTTCATTTGATTAAATATTTTAAATATTTCTTGAATTTGTCGATCAACTGCTAAGGGGAATGCCTTGGGGGAGGGGRGAYCTTTTCACAAAGCCAAACCAATCAYAAACAGTCAAACAATCCCAAAAWAACTTYATGCGACATTTRAMATTTGAAGTACAAGTATCATCCTTGAAAAGGTAAAGTTAAYCCAAATGGATTTGTATCCGAATGAGAGAACCAGATACATGCTGGTCATGCTGTAAACGTACGGGTTGCGACCGCCATACACCGAATCGAAATATGGCGACCAATCGAATAGCTATTGTTCTTGCCTGTATAACCCCTCTCACATATGACTGACACATTTGGTTTTGGCGTTAAGGGCCTTTATTTGACTAGATTAGTTAGTTAATGATCTCCAGCACTATTTGGAAACGACTTCTAAAAGATATCCATATCCGACAATAGCTTCTGGTCACCATGGATACGCAACAGTAAACAACTATAAAAACTTTGCACTATACACCCGGCTAGCTCAGTTGGTAAGAGTGTCGGTCTGTTGTGAGGGAGGTCGTGGTTCAAGCCTCGGCCGGASCAACACTCAGGGTCTTAAAATAACTGAGGAGAAGGTGCTGCCTTTGTAATTATATCTACAAATGGYTASACCTTCAAGTCTTCTCGGACAAGGACTTAAAACCGTAGGCCCTGTCTCCCAACCCTTCCTAACCTACAGTAAAATGGGGGACATAAAAGAACCTATTGAATTATTCGTATAAGAGTAGAGGATTGTCTCCCGGATCAACAGCTTATCCCAATCTGCATTAATACCAACTTACTAACAAATCACTCATGATAGTAAGCTGGACGGCTGCTACTAGCGCCTAAATACGCAGCTCGTAAAGTCCTCCACTGGTCATGATTGTGAAGCGCATTGGGACCAAGTAAAATGCTATATAAGAACCCCGTTATTTATATATTTATCATACCTCGTTCTGATGACGACTACCACAGCGTAGACGAAAGGTCAAAAATGTTTTCAAGACATCGTGCTTCAAACTGTAAAAAAACCTTATGTAGTTTTCCAGCTAGTTTTCTCTCAGATACTAAGTACCAAAGCAGTTTCTTATTTTCATTTCGGTAAAAATACGGTTCTTGTGAAAACTTAAAACTTTTCATATGGATAACCAAACATCGTTATGTAAAAGAAGTAAAAGTAAGCTTATATTTTGCTGACCTTTTTTTAACAAATTTTCAAGTCTGCTTCATAGTGTTCATTTGTCGCCATAAAAAGTTCGTTCGGAAATCTCCAAAATTTCGATTTCATTGAAAGATATCCAAGGTAAATTTCACTAGACCTGATATTCTATTGATTATCTGTAGTTATCTTTCGTTTTTGAAGTGAAATTAACTAGGAATTCAAAGCTTTAAAATGTCAGCCATAGAAAACTTTGTCCAAGAACAAAGCTAGCCCCTGGGGGGCTGGTGGTGAGTTGTGAACAAAATCCCTGAGCATACTCGCGCAAAGAAAACGACGTATAAAGCATTTCGATTCGATTTCACTGYATTATTTTGAGAGAAATTATCTTCATCTCGAATAAAAAATAATTGAAGATTTTTTTCCCGATTTAATTATTCTTCCCTGTGACTTGCGCAACGGGAGCTCCGCTTTTAGGCASTGCCTAAATATATAATATATTAAACGTCGCTTTGGTACTAAATTTGGACCAATAATAACAGCATAAAAATCATTTTTTACGTCGTTAAAGATGGATCSAGAAGTGCTCTTCAAGTGTTTCGTTAAGTTCGTCTCCTATCGCGTCCTATATCGGCAAATCAAATTAGTCTTTCTTTAATAGTTCTAATACGATTTTTATAGCTAATGCATTTAAATAATTATAAAAAGGAGTACATATTAAACCAAGTATTTGTCATTTGTGTAGCTTTTCAAGCAAAAATGATTACTAGCCTCTAGTTTGTCAAGTGGAAAATTTGGTTTTTAGATGTGAACTCGCTTTTCAACCCGGAACTTTCAACCTCAAAAAAAAAAAAAAGGTTTCATGCATACCATTTGCTCAATGAATCAGTTTTCGTACATAATACAAACATTTAAACCGTGAGAAATAAAGCGGAAAATGGGAGCTAATAATCTGTTGTTCAAAGACTTTTCAAAGCATTTGCAGTACGTAGACGGGAATGGGTTACRCTATGGCGGATTAAAAGTGTAAAAAATATTTATAAGGTATATATCTATTCGCTTTAGAGTGTCTTRAAAAAAAGAAAAAAATTTTCAAAAAAGAAAATTCAAAAACAGTKTTGGTTAACTATAAATTTCAGGTCACCCATCCAAGTACTAATCAYACTCAAACGTGCTTGACTTAGTGTCTTGGAAGTCCAAGTTTTTTCCACTGGGCCACGATTTYAGRAAATTAGCATAACAATAGCCATGAAAACAAGGCACAAGATAGACTAGATTATTTTCCACTTCAAATCAACGTGCCAGTGCGTGGCAGAGTGCAAGGGATTAGCTGTAGTTATGGTCTGGGGGCCGGCTAGTCTCTCCCCTGATGCTTCGGCTAGAACACTATCCTGCGTAATCCGTACACCCAAGGGCAGAGGGCCTTAATCGCCGTCATGTCCGAAGTCCATACGACGACCCAGCGGAAGTCTCGGGGTATGGCATGAAGGCACTGTTTTTTTTTTCTTCTGTATTTTGGAGTTAATTATCTAATTAAAGTTGGTGGACGCGAGTTCGATTCCCACCGTATTAAGAGTACTTTTTTTCCCCTTCTTTTCCGTTTCCTCAAGCCTTAGATTTTTTAAAGTATTTATTGATTATTTTTGTAAGCGACTTTTATTAATTCAAGAAAATGAAGAATTCTTATTTTTGTCTTTCAAGTARAAAGAATGTCTACTCCTGTCTGATTTTCCCAATTTTATTTTCGCCTTTAGTTTTATTTTYAGTCGTGTCTAAAACAATTCGGGGAGCTCCGCTCTTAGGCAGYGCCTAAATTAGTTATAGTTATCCAAAATGGTCGTCATACATCGATTTGGTGCATGGCGTGGCGTATACTAAAGAATACACCATAGTTTAAAAACAACTTTTTTTTATTTACACAAACTATAAAAAATTATCATACTGAAGAATTTTGATTGACAGGAATTAAAAAAGGAAAATATTGTCTAGTCCTCATCTTCCTTTAGGCAGACATAATGTAATCCATGGATTCTGCAATAAAAGGAACAAAAATATATAACTAACTCATTTTCTAAGGACAAAGCTGTGTCAATCTACAGCTCGAAGTTCGAGAATGGGTAAAACATTTTGTGAGACGGGAATCGGTTACACTATACAGCCATTTCAAAAACAAAGTTGGTGAAAGTTTTGCTTGCATGTTGCATGCTGCATCTCCCAAGTTGCTTACTGAGTTTGCGGGAATATATTACCTTAATATGTAGATTATGTCAACACAAAAATATACCGGAAAAACATGCAGACATAATTTAGAAAACTTTCAAATCGTTGTTACCGTTCAGATGATGATGTTCACATCGCCCGTAGCGCAACTGGGGCTTAATATGCAACATGCAACGACACCTTCACCTTCATTTTTTGAAACAGCTTTATATGGCAAATTGCGAGCAAAGATATCAATTTCTACATTTATTTAAAGTATCTTTAAAATAAAGATATAAGGGACGTAAAAGCTTTAGTAGATATACGATTAAGGTCACCCATCAACTTTTCACATGAAAGGTTGTATTCAGTATATAGTCACATTAGTCACGTGGTTACTGAGGGGGCAAACAGCTTTAAATTAGGATATTTCGACTGATTAAGCAATACAATCCTAATGCTTTTCTTTTCTTTTCTTGTTTTATATCATTCTTTTTTTTCCTTCTTTTTTATTTTTTATTTTTTATATATATATAAATGAAATGCTTGAATTTGGACTGCTTTGGGCGTCAGTTTAACGAATAAGAAAATGAATAGCTTTTAAAATTGTCCTTGTATGATTTGCCAAGTAAGGAACAAATGTAACAGTTCCAAAACTACATGCAGATTATTTGCTTTTGGATAGTTTGAAACTGAAGATATATAGTTCAAATTCTCTAGGTCGAGGCGATGTTTTAAAAATGGTCTTCTTCCAATGTTTGCCCCCAAGAAGACCCCATGGCATGAGTCAATACAACCTATTTATTTGCTTTCCTCTCAAACAGCAACCTAAAATAGTCCCCTTTTAATTTGATTCACTCGACCGACCCAGGAAGTCCAAGCAAGGTTAGGGCTAGTTCAAAAGCGGAACGATTGGAATCTCATGTATTTTGAAAATATGTCTTTATACACTAGATAATRAATAGGAACAGTATCTTGTGATATAACTGGTGAAATCATCAACAAATGATTGCACTGACAGAAAGCCTTGATTGTTACRCAGGTTTCATCTCAATATCTCAAATATATACGTTAAAAGAAAAGAATGTCATTTCCCAGAATACCTTTCGGTCTCAGCTTCTATATAATTTAATTGGACGTATAAGAGCTAGGAAAACAGAACAAAATACTGTGTAATAATTGAAGAATATTGAGACTCCTTAGATAGAATCACACAATGCTTTTAATACTTTTTTAGCCCAATGCCTGCGTCTCACTTGATCAGCATCCTTTAGCTTTACAAACCAAAAAATGCGAAACTCACCCAACATTTTTACATTGCAATCCAGTTYTACATGGTCCGCATGCTGGTTCTACTTTCCCACCGTTGTAAACTTGATGAAATAAGTTTATTGGTCCACAAGATTCGTACTCATCGAGCATTGGCTTGCAAATTGATGTTCGAGGRTTAATAGACACTTCTCTCACACAGCAGCTATTGCTATCACACTGAGATGATTTATCGCAGTAAGTACCGGGATCTYCCTGCTTCACGCCTTTAGTACACTGGCCATACTGACAAACCAATGGTTTACAACACGTCCCTATGAGATTCCAATACAATACGATTAAAATGGTTAATYATTATGTTTCTGAAAAATTTATTAAAATAAGCAGGGATAGACTGCTGGATGACTGCCTTASAAGATGACTTTGCTGTAATTAGTTATAAAGCTTATATATTTTTTTCTTTGTATTTCAAGAGATGTGTTAGGACCRAGCATGACTGCATGACTCCCTCAATCTTACCTATATAATGACACGGGGTATTTTCATGAAGACACGACCGACACACGTGCACGTCACAAAACTTGTCAGAGGGACACGCCTTATTGATATTGCACTCTTCTTCGACGTGTTCTGGAAAGGAGAGACGAGGACGGAATGGAGAATACATGTTCATCATGTTATATTGCATGTTGTTGTAAAGAAGTTGCTGAAACAAAATCAAAATGTAATAAAATGAAAATTTGGTTTGTAATCYGTTTAACAGTTTCCGAGATTCAAAGGCAAAACCCAAAGACAGATCAGACGGAMAATGCCGTTTATTGATTTAAATAACCTAGTACCCAAAATCCAGCCTACAAACCCTTTTCTCCCTAAATTGCAATTGATTGCCTTCTCCAGTCATCACTATAAGTGGTCCCCTATTTATTATTCCCCTCCAGATTCTACTCCGCTAAGCCAGCCARTCACAGACATATACCTACAGACTGAAAGAAGGAATTCAAAACAGATTGGAAATTCATAAACAAYATTAATCAAAAAATATTCTAGCGGTATATGACAGACACAYCATYCAGTYTACRCCATCGCCTGATAAAARCTAGCAGCTTGCAGACAAAACATGATCGCAGTACTTCAGTGGCATTCGAATTTCTTTGATCTGGGTTCTCTTTCGACTGCCTTAAATCTGCATTTTAAGTCTATGTTAATCTAAATTACATAACTCTCGTAACTATAAATGTTACATTTATTGCATTTTAAGTCCATRTTAGTCTAAATTATATAACTCTCATAACTATAAATGTTTACCTAAATGAAGAATGGAAGGTAGACTAGTTAGTATTTTTCATACATGTCATATGATATAGAAAGACAAAAAWACTTACTCTCTTGACCGACTGAACGTCTGTGGATTGTCCATCATTGTTCCTTACACTTACAGCAATAGTTTTACGAATCTCTAGCATCCATAATAATATAAAAACAGCAATGGCTTCCATGTTTTGTCTTACTAATACCACAACAGAAGACATATTAAGKTTTCTGGGGTAAGAAAGAATCTAGCAGGTATCTGTGACAGAAACAAAAGAAAGCCATTAAAGTTTTATACCTGCCTATCCGATGCCTATGAAAAATGTTATCATTTATTCGCCATGGCGTCTTTTTAAAAGCTCTTTTYCTTGCAAAATATAACTGCTAGGTTTGTTGATTTCTATTAGGTAGATTAGGTTTGGCAAATTTTAC